TTTTTTTTCTTTTTTTTTGGTACCAGGGATTAAACCCAGGGGTACTTAACCACTGAGCCACATCCCCAGCCTTTTTAATATATAATATATATTTCACTGAGTTGCTTTTTGCCTCACTAACTTGCTGAGGCTGGCTTTGAACTTGGAATTCTCATGCCTTGGCCTCCCAAGCCACTGGAATAACAGGCGTGCACCACAATGTCAAATTCATCCAGTCTCTAATCCTCCTTCTCCTCTACTTCTTTGAGATCAGTGGTTTTATCTTCCACATGAGAACATGCATTTTTTAAAACACTTATTATTTGGCATTAAGAAAATACTGCCTTTGAGCATTAGTTAATATTTGCCTTTTAGTAGTATTTGACATTTATGTGGTATGCATGTATGTATCTTTACATTTAATTTTTCCCTTACCCCCAGCTTGGTCATAGAATTCCCAGTGGTATGAATTTGATTTTTGGAACTTATATGCTTTGAACTTTCGTTTGTGATATTGACATAGTTATTGGTAACTAATTTCTTAATTATGTGCTTATAAAAATGCTTCCCTTCTGGAAAGCACATGTCTTTCTGAATATCATTGCATGTCTCTTCGGCCACTATGTTTGGTTTCTAGCTCATCATCTTTCTTCCCTTAGAAAGATTAATTTTTTTTTTCCAGGAATTCTGCAGACTTTGTCTTGCTGTTTTCTCTTTACAGCATTTTTCTTTGTTTCCTTAGCACTTGTAAATTTAGTTTTTGTTGTGTGTGGTTCTCTTCTTTTGCTCACTTTTCATCTTGGTGTACCAGATATACAGTTTTGGCTATAACGGGTTCTTAGTAAATGCTGATTGTTCTAAAGTTGCTGTGGAGTCATTAAAACTTTGTCCAGGGCTTTGAAAAGGAGACTACCTGTGCCACTTGATTTTCAACTACTGTGGTTGACCGAATGTTCGAAAACCAACACTTTATCTTAGGTCCTAAGGAATGGAGTCCACATACATGTGAATCACAGAGGACCCCTGTCTCCCTGTTATGTAGAAATCCCACAGCCTCTGCCATTGGAAAGCACATTTGCAGAGGAAAACCTACAGTAGCTGTGATCTGATAGAAGTAGTGTGTAAATACAGCTGTGGCCTCTGGCAGGTGGAAAATAGGCAGAATTGGATTTCTTGGGTTTCTGCTGATGTTTATGACTTGTGGGTATTATTCATTGCAGTCAATCAATCTAGAGCTATTACTTACCTGTACACTCAGTAAGGTGATGGGTGACTTCATTGCCAGTGAAGAATTGCTAGCTCAGTTTCCTTGGAGGACATTACATCATAGGTCAAGATATTTCAAATGTTCCAAAGGATCCCCCACCTCCCAATAAAGTAGTTTTCTCTAAACAGGTTTTCCTCAGTTGTAATTGATGGAGCCAGGTCCTTGACAAGTAATCCTTTTAGGTTCCCTGCCACAAAAGAAAATCTCTTTTAAGAAATACGGGGCATTGCTCTCTGCTTCCTCTGCAGATTTCAAATGAAAAGGCATACTTCCCTTCCTGCCATGTTCAAAATGGTAGCATGCTAGAACAGCTCTTTCTAGCTGGGGAGGTGGTACCCTGAAGTGCATCTTACTCTGGGTCTAGCAGGTCAGGAGGGAGTGCTTTTCTTTCTATCCACTGAGAGGCTTGGCTTTGTTTATCCTGAATATTAAGGTATTGAAGAGCATCTATTCTAAGCTATTGCCCCCAGCCAGTGTGTGCTCCAGAGACCATGTCTACCCAGAGTTGAGTTAGGTGGTTATTTATTTGCTGCTGGACCTTATGCATGCTAAGCACATTGTTTACCACTGAGCTGTGCCCCCAACCCTGTGTTATTTGAAAGTGCCCGATAATTTACTCTTCTTCCCATAGAGAGCCTCGTGCATGTTATCTACATACCTTGGGTGCCCTCATTGGTTACCATTTTTACTCTTGTCAATGAAATCACTTGCTTCTTTAAATTGGGCATGTTTAAACAAAGTTTTGAGGTTTCCCAGAGGTACCTGCTTGGCATTTCAAATTACTTGGTTATTGCTCCAAGACTTCTTCTTAGCATGGTGATGAATTTTGCGGTGAGATGCCAAAGTAACCCTTAAATATGATTTGTGGCTCAGAATGTGATAATAAATCATAAATGATGTGTCTGAAATTCAGAAAGGTAATCATTTTAAACAGTTTTTGAACAGATTTCTGAGGATTTTGGCGACGTTTTTAGAAATTATGGGTCAGTGGTCATGTAGTCTTCACTTTCTTCCTTCCTCTTCACCCTTCATTTCTGTCTCCCTTCCCCTTCCAAGAGGCCTTTCCAGCTGCGTGTGCTTTTATTCTCATGCTCTGCTGTTTGCGTTGGGGGTCCAAAGCAGGGC